AGAAAAGGAAGAAGCCATTGCAACGTAGCATGCCTTTTGTGGGCCACTCGAGGGTAAAATTTACAGCCGGAAGGAGCCATTATATTACAACGTAGCATTCCTGCTGTGGGCCATTCGAAGGTGAAACTTAGAATAGTAGGAGCCATTACAACGCAGCATTAGTTCGAATTCGCCTTCGAATCGACGATAATTTTTACATCCCGGGGGGGACCAGTTCGAGTTCGAGCTCGAATTCGAAGTCGAATCGACGACAGCGATTTTGGAGTTCGACTCTTTCTATTCGTCCACCGGGTTGACTTCTAACAGTTCCAGTTCGAGTTCGAGATCGAGTTCGAGATCGAGTTCGAGTTCGGTTCCTTCCATATATCCTTTCAAGGTTAAGTTCATCAATACTGTATAACTGTTTCAGTTCGAGTTCGAGTTCGAGTTCGAGCGGGGCACACTATGACTTTACCACTACCAGCTTGACTTGGCAAAGCAAATGTGGGATTGCAGTGCCTTTCGTGCCTAGTTCAATGGACACCCTGTCCAGGCGGCACTATTATCTTTCCGGGGGTGCACACAGGTCCCATTACGTGCTGTCCCAAATAGCTCATCGCAAAGTGTGACCCCTCAACCTGTTGGCTGGACCTTTCCAAGACCAACCAAACTTAGGCTACTTCGAATTATTGTTCATTGCCAATGAGACAAATCCAGAACTTCAAAGTACCGTGAAAGCACAGGCATTGCGGCATTGCTCCCATATTATTCGGCCAGTCTTCTTGATTTGAAACGTTCACCGAGACTGGCCGAATCTAAGAAAAGCACTCTGAGATTGACCATTCCTCAGCAACAATGTGACACCTCACCTCCCACCCTCACCTCCCACCCCACCCAACTTACACGGCCACACGAGCCGCAAACAAAATGACCAGGAAAGCTGAAAACATCTGAAAACCTCTCAAACCGCATGGCCACCAAAAAAAGAATGCAGGAACTTGGGAGCGGCAAGTAGACTCGAGTTGACTCCAGAGCACCAAAAAGAGATGCTGAGTTCCCATCCATCACGTGAAAGATCAAATCAAACGTCAGTAAAGAGCCGAGAAGCGTCCCACACAAACTCACATCGCCTGGTGAGGATGTTCTCCTTGCTGCAGCCGCGGCTGCGACCAACTCCTGGACCAAAGACAGGTCTTTGACTTGGCAACCGGCTGGAAATAACTAAGTGGTGATGCAACTGCAAACATGTCCGTAATTATATTGCGTTGTTCAAGGCGATGTCTCCCCTACCCAGGACATCTGTGTAGTATTGCGCTTAGTTTTGCTGTTGCGGGTGAAAGGTGTCTGGTGCCCTTGAAGTGTTGAAGAAACTCCTCTCTTGGTGGTTAATTCATAAAAAAGCTCGACTAATACATAGACATCTTGCGTCTAATAATTACATGGACAGGACGCAACAACGTTGTGATCACCACAGCTTTGATTGCAAATAGATCTTGGGCTCCACGGGCAGAGTCACAAAGCTAACTGGCGCAGTGAGCTTTCCAAACTAACCAGGGTTTATAGCTAACTGCCAAACTGCCAAACTACGCCAGAGTAGGTGCCTCGACAGTGACTGATGGATGCACAAAGTTGCAAGGGGGAAGGGTCAAGTTGAAAGAGCCAGTGAATCAACGAGCCCCGGAACCCCCCACACCCCCAACCCCGCAACCCAACCAAAATCCGATTGAAGATGATGAGTTTGTGTTGCGGGTGTTTATTAGCCCCATGCCGATACCTTTTATAAGGCTGCAACATGTTAGCCACAACTCTGCATATTCAGCCTGTTTGTCACTGTTAGTCCAATTCCAAGTTCTTTTCCCCCCAAAAGAAGAGATTGTCCTGGACAAGTTTCACTGTATCAGTTGCTTCATCAATAACTTAGCTGTAGAGAAAACAGCACCCACCTGCTTGGACACAATCACGCACACTGTTGCACAAGACTGTTTGAAGGAACGACAAAAAGAGAGACCAGCGAACGTGACTTGCTGGCCTCCGTGGCCTCTGCCCATGCTAGGGCAGCTTCAGCCTCTGCTCAGCATTCAGCAGGTGTTTTTGGATCAAAAATATGGCAACGAGACCAGCAATGGTCAGGTGCCAAGCGAGGTCGCGTACATGCCGAACGTGTTGATCTTATTCCCCTGGGTAAAGTGCACCGGAAGGACCTTCCACCATCTTCCACCCTGAATTTCCAACCTGAGCAAGCTCTGCTGGCTTCAAGCCACAGCTACGAGCAGCAGCAAGGGCCTAGAGCGGTTCATGTTGAACTGTGGGAGAAGCAAATATCCATGAAACTTGCAACAGTCAAGACATTGTGGACCCAAGAACGGGGTGGCTGTATAGCTAGCAAATCTTTTCATGTCCACTTACATGGCAAGCTGGATACTTTTTGGGAGGGGCAAATATTGGGCCCGGCCACCTGAATCGTACCGTCAGAGGATCCGCTTTTCAAACGTCTGCTTGCTGAAGGTGTTGGCAAATTTTGTACAAGAATGAGGGATGACCATGACCCCAATCTCGGCTCTGCATACAGTATCTTTCTATCAACCGCGCGAGCAAAAGCGGTTGCCTTGGAAATAATACATATATATATATAATATGTGTATATATATATATATACACATTCTGCAGGGATTTTGTGGCGATGCCTTTCGCCACAGCTTCAGGAGCCTTGAATTATCCCAACCCTCATGCTCAAACAAACCTCCTTTCAAGTCCTTTTTGTGTGCAAACCGATATCGTATCCTGTTCGCAGCCAGCGCAACCAACGTCAACATGCTTGCCACCCCACAACGAAGATCATCTTCTCAGCAACGACCCCACCACGCACCCCACAACGGGGAAAAGCTCCCCAGAGATGACAGCATATTATGCTAACAGTGGCAGCAAAGACTAAGCGACCAACAACTCACATCCTCATGAGCCAGGATGGGATGGGAATCTATGGAACATCAGTAGCACATAGTGGCGTTGACATGCATCTTGGACCAGAATGTACTCCTCAACTGCACATTCGATTTTAGCCCTGAATTTGCTTCGACGCAGGTTTCAGCTCAAAACCCACACCCAGTTCATCCTTCAGCTCTGCATCGCTAATCCTATCACATATATAATACTATATATATATAATTATATATATATATTTATATTGTGACAAAACACAAACAAGCACTGAGAATCATCACTTGTCCAATTTCTGGCCCCTACATGCCCTTACTTGATCGTCGCTAACAAAGTGGTTCCCGTCCCTGACATTGTTCTCCCGGAAGATGCCTGCCGGAGCTCTCCGGCCGAACCACTGTTCTGCGCCGCGGCCAAACGCGCTCTGGCCTGAACAGAACCAAGTGAAATCGTTCTACCAAAGGAGACCAGACCAACAGGTCATCAAGGTGGCAAGCCTTAACTTGGCCTCACATCATTTGTTCTCATGCCAAACTGTTGTCCACATGAAGAACACTAACACACATCCCGCAGTTCGGAGTCCTGCACCACAACATGAGTCTCATCATAATTTGATCATCTCTGCCTGAGCTGCCGGGTCTGCCCGCGGGGCAGGGCTCGCTGCTACTCCACTTGCACCGCCATCTCTTTCAATCGCAGCGTTGATGGCCTGGCACAGGAATCCGAGCCATCTTGGAAGGAATTCCGAGTTGATTGCAGGCGTAAGTTTAGCTCAACTGTAGGACATTGCCACTACCATTACCTTCATCATCCAAAGTTGCCATTCGGCAAAATTCCCAGAGAGCTTGTTGCTCAGTACTGAAATTGTCTTAGATGCGCCAATTGCCCATTGTTTGAGAAACAACTGGAGATATCAATCCACTAGGCCTTCTCAATGCGCCGCTTCTCTAAGGGCTTCAGACCCATCTCGCTCGCAAACTCGTCGAAGGCCTCCAGCAAGTTGCTCTGCATGTAACTGGAAGTCGAATGAGTCGACCGCGTTAATTTTGCATGTTGGCTGCATGCATGCTGGCTGCAGAAACCTCATTCTCCTGTGCCAAGCATCCACAAAACAACACTGTCGAAAAGAAATATAGAGCCCATAGCTGCCATAGCCTCCAGCACTTCCCAAAGGGAGGCTGCACCCTGGTTCTGACACCAGGACACCGCCTCCCAGGAGCGAAGCGAGAGCTATGTCCGAATTCGGCTCAACGAATCCAGGCCTTGTTCTGAGCGTCCCGCTTCAGGTTGGCAGCAGCCAACGCCTGCTCAGTTTGTGTACCAAACCGGCTGGCAATGCCGAGCGCATTCAACATAGATTTCAAGGATTGGCCACTTTCTTTGGAAAGGATAGATCTTGAAGATCGGGAAAAGAAAACGCAATGAGGCCCGCACATCTTTGAGGCTCTGGAGAAAGCCTTCCCCATCCTCAGCACGTTGATATCTTTAACGGTCAGAGGGGCTCAAAAAGGACCTCCCATAACACGAGGTTTCGGGATGGTCTCGTCTCTCAGCGAAAACTTGCGATGTCAGGCGCCTCTTTGGCTCTCATGCTGTCCTTTCGGGCTATGCAGAGACCTGTTGAAAACAGCCAATGGGCTGAATGACCGATGCCGAAGTTGGGCTGTGGCTTCAGTGGGTGGACACCACAATCCGATCGCGTTCCTCTCGGAGTGGTCTCGGCCAACCGGCAGGGTTCGTGTGCTACGTTTGAGCAGTCCAACTTCGCTGGGTCAGGGCATCGCCAGTGGCCAACCAAATGTTGGCCGAAGCAAACAGACTCAAAAAAAAGTTTGGATGTCCAAGACTGCAGCTTTGATCCCAAAATAAAGCAATTGTAATTACTACCTTCACTTGCTGTCTCAAAATCTCGTCCGTTTGTGGCGTCTTTGGGGACAGCAGGCTGTGGCAGAACTTCGACATCCAACCCGAAAATGACGCTAAGGTGAGACTCTCATAGCCAGATCTATTGATCGAAGGCCGCAAAAAGAGCTGACGTCGATATGCGTCATAGGGCTAAGGCATCAAAGGGAATTGAAAGAATGGCACATGAGAAACAGCCCGAAATTGTTGAGATGTCGGTACATGAAACCATTTCACCAGAATCAGCTGAGTTGATGATTGATGGACCACGCCATTCAAACAAGACTAATTTGTCCTTTTGTGCAAATGTCTCTTGCAGCTTTTACGCCATTTCTGTGTTTATATAGAAATTATATAGATATATATTGTTTTTTTTCTACACCTGCATTTTGGGGCCGGCAGCCGAACTTACTGACCTTTTTTCACCAGGTGCCGGATAGTGGAGGCGAGGCTTCCGCAGCCGTCAGATACCTTGATAGGTGGCTGGCTAGCTGATTTTGCCAGATACTTTGATATGCGGCTGGTTAGTTCTTTGGCTCTCATGTGATACTGCATGAGTGCGTCTTTTGATAGTAGGGCTGTCACGACATTCACAAAGGATTGCAACTGGATGTGCCAAGGGTTCTTCAGCAACACCCTGGATGGGCATGAATTCAAAAAATGCAGCCTGACTCCTCAGGAATGCTTCAGGCACACGACAGCTTAGCCTGAAAGGTCCCGTCTGAAACAGCTTAGCCTGAAGCTTGACTTGTGCTAAGCTGCATGCTCGATGAAGCTTGAACAGCATTCTGCACATAACAATAGTACCCATGAAGCCCGTGTTTCATCATTGCGGTGTCAAGTCTGCATTTCACGGCCTCAACAGTGAACAGTTTCTGGAAGAGGCTCGTCCTCATCTTCGTCACCTTCAAGCATTTCAGCTCCATTGAAGCTTTCGCAAATTCACAAGGAAACGTCTTGGGCATTGCTACCCACTGCAAAAGGAAAGTCCGCCAAAACAAAACTCTGATCCCGTGCAACTATCTCTGTCTTTGTTGAGTGTGTGTCCCTTGTGTGACTTTGACTTTGGGTTGTTTTTGGGCTGAGTGAGTTTTGTTTATCGCTCTAGACACAAAATGAACAGAAGAAATATGAAGAAATGAAATATGGCAAGTGTCTCATTGCGCCTTCCTCCATCGCAATCGCCACTTCACAAAAGCCTCGTTCGTTGTCCAAGTTCATCACCCACTGGGTTTTGAGTGCAACGGGGTGGCATACTGAGACTGGGACTCGGTGAGTCTTCCAAACCTTCAAGCTGGTGCTCTAGTTGAGCAGTGTCCAGCGTTGTAAGCAAATTCTTCAACTCAGTGGTGAACACCACCTGAGGCAGGACATGGCAACCCTCACATGGCTTGAAACAACACCTGCCATTGAGCATCAAGCCCAAACATGAAAGAACTCACCGAGCTATCCAAACCACGACGGTGCACAAGCACAACTTGCAGCCGCCAAAGTGCAGTAGCTGTCAAAGCAAGAATAAGAAGTATCTCTTCCGCCGCGTCCCTTGCTCTGACTTAATTATATAAGTTGTTTTCCTTCTGATCATCAAGAAACTGCAAACAGAATATGTTCCCCGCCGCACCTGCATCGTTCGAAGTGCCTTTGCCGGGTAGGCTGATTGGCTATCAATGATTGGCTGAGCAAAACAAATTCAAGCAACATCTGCCACCAACCTTGGCTGAACAAGGCTCACTAGTGAACCTTGCTCGCAGCATCACTCTATTGCCTTCCATTAGTGGACCCTGCGTGGGCTGGTTTGACCCACACTCCATGTTGTTCGACACCAGCTTCGACCACCGCCACAAGCCACGCCTCCGCGATGTTTCGCTTCAGGTAGGCATTCATTGCTTGGAAGCCGCCGGGCATCTCGGAGACCAACTTGCTGATCATCTCTTTGTCCTACCAAGCCAGTGGAATACCAAAAGAGGGACGACATTTGTGTTGGCCATAAATCTAGGACCTGGTGCCCTAGGGGAAACTGACCTTCACTTGGAGAGTCTTCTAAATCAGACGGGTGCTGGCGGAGTGAATCCCGGGTCCGATTCCATCGTATCCCGTGTTTTGAGGTTTCCTTGCACATTCAAATTCTTCTATTTCACGTTCTGGTCCCGTCTTCCATCTCTCCAACAGGTGGGTTTGCGCAGTGCAGGGTGGGATGGAGCTCCGATGTTTTTCGGTTCATTTCCAAAACACGACTGCTTTCGGTCCGAATACGACTGCCACTCGTTGGACACTCGACCTGTGACAGGCACACAAAGACATGGTGACACTACCAGGCACCTGCTGTTTCATTGCTACATGAGAGGTACTTGAAACAAGTTCACAACCTTCCAGGACTGGTACAAAGAATCTAGTCTTGCTTGTCCAAGATTTTTAGGGTTCTGATGGGTTCGGGAAGAGTAGAATCTATCGATGTGCTGTATATAATTCAAACGTAAAACGCCTATAAATGCCTGCCCATCCTTGAACGAAAAAGGGAAAGAGGAACCGGGGTCTGAATCCAGTATGTCCCTACCTTATTCCAAGTCCAGCCTAGAACTCCCAACTGCTAAGGACCTATACACAAAACAGGCGGCGTGGTCCGTTGTTCACACCAATTGTGGAGGGTTATCCTCAGATACGCATACATCGCACAGGAACACCTTTTCTATGTGTCTTTTCAAATGGCCCATACAAACACGGCGCCACAACTCGGCTCCTTCTGCACCTCGGCGTGCCCATACACGGTAGCATCATTTGCCCAAGCACAATTATTAGATGGAAGAGAACAAAACTAGCACAAGATAGGACAAGTCATTGACCTATCTACCCTGCAACAAAGACAAGAAGAAAAGTCGCTGCAGCCAAAGGAATCTAAACGATGCTGGACAAAGTGAACCACAGTATGTTGATCTCAATGGACAACCCATACAAACACCCGCTCCCCTTTTTCGGTGCACTCACTCCCTCGTTCCTCTCATCTACTCATACTGTCAGTCCATCTGTTAGTAGTTTAAAGTCCAGCTGTCTACACTGGCAATTCGTGGGTTTGGCTTGACATAGATAAGGAGCTCCCAACAGAACAAATACCTGACAGAACGGGTCGGTTGCCGCTGAGGGATATGTATCCCAACCGGTCGCTTCAACTTCAACTTGAGAAGAAAAAAAAAGGAAAAAAAACTCGTGATTCTCTCATCTGCGGGTGCAGAACGCTAGAAATGCGGAAATAGAATGCGCATCCGCTGCAGGATCCTTGCCTGCCACAGCAAAGTGAACCAAGTGAACCCTTCCTTGGGGTCCACACTGAGGCTGTTGCATCCTCCAAGCGAAGCTTGGCTAAGCGCTCTGCGATGCGCATCGGGAGGTCCACCCCGGACTTGCCTCGCAAACACACGGCAAACATGTGAGAAATGTCTGGAGCTATGTCCTTGTTGTTCGATTCTGTGCCAAAAGTTCCCAGAGGTTTGTTCATAATATAAGATTTGAATATCATCATGCAGTGTTTGTCCTTTTTCATGCAACTTTACGCCGAGTTCTATATAACTTGTCTGCCAAGTATTATGTCCTTGGACAAGCCCGCCTATTTTAATACTATATTATATCATATAATATGTATATATATATATGCATAATGTATATAGCAATGGCAAGAGTTTCCACCTTTAGTGTAGGTCGGACTGCGACATTAGCACGAAATGGAGGAAGCAACGTGGACACCGAGAATGGAGCTTTGCTTATGCAGTGCATGGTTGTTGGGCAAAGCACTGGCCGTTTAGTCTTGCAAAGACTCCTCCCTGGGTGTCATAGACCTACAGTAAACCATGCAATCCGTGCCAAACCACAGGCATCCCTGTGCATCCCTGTACATCACACACAATCCGATCATGTGCGTTTTGTTTAATCAAACACCTTCATCCAGCTCCCTTCAGCTCGATCCGGCTGCGCCTTTTTGCAAAACACCTGTGGTGGTGCACAGGTACAAGCCCTTAAAGTTCTCTCGCCTGCAAAGAAAGAAGATACGAAAGTGCGCCAGGTCGCGAAAGTGC